TCTCAGAACAGCCTACAGTGGCCTTTCCCTGCCTCCCCCCACAACAGGCCCCTTGTGAGCAGTGTTCCCTCTAAGTTGAGTTAGTGTGAGCTAGCTCACAGTTTTTTAGCCTCCAGCTCACACACTTTTGTCTTAGCTCGGGAAGGATGGCTCAAGAGCAGACTAATTTATGCAGTAGACAAATCGCTCACTCACAACTTTAATGCCAGGAGCTCACAAAGTAGAATTTTTCCTCACAAGACTCCACAGCTTAGAGGGAACGTTGCTTGTGAGGTAGGTGGGGCAGAGAGAATCCTGAGACAACTGTGACTGGCCCGAGGTCACCCGGCAGGCTTCATGTGGAGGAGGAAGGGGGGAATCAAAGCCAGCTCTCCAGACTAGACTCCACCGCTCTTAACGACTACACCACGCTGGCTATCAACCGTTATTAAAACCTGCCTTAATTAATCCCCCTTTTCCAAATATCACCGACTATATGTAGAAGAATCGGAGGTTCAGCCGCACCTAGAAATATCCCATCGGGAGCTCCCACGAACCGGAGCTCACTACAACAGAGGCGCTCAAAGAGTTCAGCTGTTCAACAGATGCATCTCTCTCCTCCACACACGGACATTTCTGTTGTTTACAGCATTGAGTATAAATGCATCTGCCTAATATCTGCCTGTTTCATGTGAATTCTGACTCATGAAAAGTTACGCTGATGAAACTCATACATGGGGTCGGTCTGAAAGGTGCCCCTCAGTCGGCTCCTGTTTATATTTGGCTGCATCCGACCAACCTGGCTGCCCGTTTGGAACAACTGACGCACAGCTCCCTAATATAGGCTTCTAACAAGACCATAACATTGTACTGAGATCCTTTATGAAAAAGCAAACTTGAATGTTCTTGGGCTCCAGTTCTAGTGAATCAGACAAGCCCTTATTTAAAACCACCACCATGCCATTGATTTAGAGAACAGAATATCATTTTTTTAGCTGCTTACCTGCGTAGTATGTAAGCAACATGAGAAGGAAAGGACAGAAAAAGACAGTGAGGGAAGCCATCCCGATGCGGAGGTAAAATTCCTATCCTAAGCTCCAGGGTCCCACCACAGCGAGTGCCACTTTCTGCCACCCAAGACTGCCCAGCGCCCAACCCCAAACAAACAAACTGTGGAGGTTCTTGCAGGAGAGGCCGCCTAATCCCAAGTGGAGAAATAATGAGCCACCCGGCAGCACAACAGAGCTCAGGTGTGTCACCTGCCGACTTCAGCCCGTGTCCGTCCCTATTTTTGCTCTAGCAGGGGAGAGACAGGCCTGAACCAATCTGGAAACTCTGCTGCAGCATCTTCCCTTCTTCCTGCCTGACGGAGCTCTGCAGTTATCCGGCAACATGCAAACAGGCAGCAAGACCATGGCTACATCCGCACGCTAAATCCACATTGCGCTGGTAAGACTGTGGATGCGTGATGCTTGAAGCGATTCTATGAAGTTGCAAGGGTTCCTCTGTCTAATTGATTGAGATAAGACATGTGTCAGTATACAATGTATGGGCATTAACGTAGGCCTTGAAGATTTTTTCAATTTGGTTGTTGATAAAGATATTTTGAACGCGCCATGCCGGAGGCACGTCAAACAATAATACCACCAACACCAACATGGGATTCTTTGGAAACAAGTGTTTCATCTTTTGAAAGTTTTGAACTGTTGGCATCAATACATACACGTTTTTGTATTCAAGTTCTGGTTGTTATGTGTCAATTGTGCCTTTAAGCCTTCGTAAAAAATTCCCAGTGTGATCTGTAGCTTTTAGGAAGATTATTTCAAAGAATGTATGCTAAAGAAAAAGCAAGACACAAATGAACGCAGTGTGTTAAAAGTTTATTTAAAGGTTCGTAGTAGTATTGTTTACATTTGGTGATTAGCTTTCCAATAATATTATCCTGATACGTACCGAAGTTCCCCTTTCTATTTTGTATTGGCTGCTAAAACAGGTCTGTCTGAAAGGACAGAAAAAGTCCATTAACCACCAGTTACTAAAGTGGTTAAGACGCTGAACTGCAGGCTGTGGAAGGTCGGTAGTTCAGCGGTTCAAGACCCGGGTGCCGCAAGACAGGGTGAGCTCCCGTCTCTAGTTCCAGCTCCTGCCAACCTAGCAGTTCGAAAGCAAGAAATTGCAAGTAGATAAATAGGGACCACTTCGGTGGGAAGGTAACAGCGTTCCGTGCGCCTTGGTGTTTATTCATGCCGGCCACATGACCACGGAAACGTCTTCGGACAGCGCTGGCTCTTCGGCTTGGAAACGGAGATGAGCACCGCAACCCTAGAGTCGGATTCGACTGGCTTTCGAGCAAGGGAACCTTTACCTTTACCTTACTAAAATGGAATACAAAGGCATTTTGAAAGGGGTCTTTGTTGTTCTGCTTCAGACCAAAACAGCTACTCATCTGAATCTATATCCCTGCATTATTTCAGTAAAGATCGTAATGAAGTTGGTTTGAGAGAAAGCATACCAAGGATGGGGGAGCATAGGAAGGAGATTACAGAGGACTACATCAAGTGGATGCTCCCCCAAATACAGGGCAATTTGGAAGCCAAGACGAAGGGGAAAAATCCAAGTGGAAACTGATTCAGTCCAGTTTGTACTACAGCGCCAGGAAACCCACTGGTGCAGAAGGCGATGTCAAAGATCTCATGCAACAAAGCCAAGGAGCTGCAGAAGCCAACGTTGAATTAAAGCACAGCTTTTATAGAGACTAGATTAGCTGAGGCTAGCTCTCCCTGTAGGAAAGCATACAAAAGGCCCCAGGTTCAATCCCCAGCAATCTCCTGTTTAAAAAAATGACTTCAGACAACAGGCCTTGGAGAAGAGCTCTCCCTGAGGATTTGCTGGAACTTCGAAAGAACAAAAAAGGCTTTTCTCCCTCCGCTCAGTATTCTCTGGTCATGCTGCTCAATGATAAACAGAAGTGTTTGGATATTACATTTTAGTAATTCAGAATTACTACCATCATTTTACATATCTGACCCTTTATTAGATCCACTCTCTAGCTTCCTGGTGTCTTTGAGCAGAAAACTGCCCTTCCCTTCTGAAGCTGGTGTGCCTGCCTGCCTGCCTGCCCAGTGGGAATAATCAGTTCTTGTTTGTCTCCGCTGTTGAGTAATCCCTCCTCCAAACACCTGGCCAGTGACTTTGCAAGCATTGATGGGGTGGCTGATGCAGATATATCCCCTGCGTTCCCTCTCTGCTCTTTCAAAGTGGTAAAAAGGTAAAAGTAAAGGTTTCCCTTGCTCGAAAGCCAGTCGAATCCGACTCTAGGGCTGCGGTGCTCATCTCCGTTTCAAAGCCGAAGAGCCAGCGCTGTCCGAAGACGTTTCCGTGGTCATGTGGCCGGCATGACTAAACACCAAGGCGCACGGAACGCTGTTACCTTCCCACCGAAGTGGTACCTATTTATCTACTTGCAATTTCTTGCTTTCGAACTGCTAGATTGGCAGGAGTGGTACTCTCCTTTTAATCCATGTTCACCATGGTGTCCTCCAAGCAATTCTGCACTAAAATTGAGTTCAACCTTTTTATTCCGGGTTTTTTCCCCATTCTGCATTGCATTACCTCCCTTCAGTGGTCAGACCGGTCTCAGCCTGCTGTTGCCCCGGGTTATTTGGATGCTGTTTTGCCGTGGACTTAGGTTCTTTCCGCATTGGAAGACGAAGAGACTGGATTTATACCCCACCCTTCACTACCTGAGCCTCAGAGCAGCTTACAATCTCCTTTCCCTTCCCCTCCCCACAACAGACACCCTGTGAGGTAGGTGGGCCTGAGAGAGCTCTTTCAAGAACTGCTCCTGAGAGAACAGCTCCGAAAGAACTTGTGACTGGCCCAAAGTCACACCAGCAGCTCCATGTGGAAGAGTGGGGAATCAAACCCGGTTCTCCCAGATTAGAGCCTGCACTCCTAACCACGACACCAAACTGGCTGTCACTCCAGATTTTCTCAGCATTCAGGTGAAGGCAATTTCAGACTCTTTTGGCTGCAGCCTTGAATCCAGCCTACTTATGAGGCTAGCAGAGACAGCAGACATCTTAAGGGTGGCAGAACGGGACCTTCTCATCTAGGGCAGGTACAGTCTCTTGGGGAATTGGAACAGATGTGAACTGTATCACAAGACTCTGGAGGAGGGTCACTGCCACAGAGGGGAGCTCCCATTCATTCCAACGAAACTTGTGCCAGAGAAGGTCTCAGTAGACCCTACCCTGGGTTCATTTTGAGGTGGGAAGGCACTTGGCCTTTCCAGTGGAGACGCAAAACTGCAGTGCCACAATTAAAAAGGCACACCAAGATTAGAGGTGGGTGGTCCTTGCAGGGTTGCCAGCTCCAGGTTGGAAAACACCTGGAGGTTTTGGGGGGTGGAGCCTGAGGAGGGTGGGGTTTGGGGAGGGACTTCAATGGGGTCCAATGCCACAGAGTCCACCTTTCAAAGCAGCAATTTTCTCCAGGGGAGCTGATCTCTGTTGCCTGGAGTTCAGTTCTAATAGCAGGGTATCTCCAGCCGCCACCTGGAAGTTGGCAACCCCATGTCTTTGGCCTGCCCAGGACGGCAACTATCTTTCAAGTATAATCGCTCTCTTCTGCCCTGATCCGCCTACCGTGTGTGACCAGCAGCTCCCTTCCCTGAGCATCGTCGGGGCCTGCACGCCAGTTCCACCTCCCGCTACAATCCACCCACTTTCTACGATTCACACGTGCGCCGAGTGTTCCGTGTCGGGAGCTCCCCGCACATTTCCCCCAAAGTTTTCAGGCACGCAAGGAGGACCCCTTAAACGTTGGGGGCTGAGCTGGGTCGGGACCGCGGAGACCCCTTAAACGACCCCTCCCCCGCGGTCCCGGTCCAGCTCAGCCCCCAACACAACCAGCCCCGGTGCGGGTCGGGCCTGCAGGCACCCGGAGAGCCCCGCCCAGTTCGGGGGCCCCAAAGATCCCTCGGCCCCTCCCTCCCTCCCCGCTCGGCGGCAGCTGTCGGGCCCCGGGCAGGGCTGATCGCGCCGCTGGAGCCGCCGCTCGCTCGGGCGTCCCCCGGGGCCAGGCGCGAAGCGGTGGCGCCGCCGGGTTGCCAAGGCGCTCCTGGCCGTGCGTCAAGCCGAGCGCAGCTGCTCCAGCCCCGCCGTGCGCCAAAGCCAGGAAGGACGGGCGAGCGGGCAGGAGCCAGGGAGGAACGGAGCCGCCGGGGCCTCCTCCGCCAAGGGCGCCCGCTCTGCACCGAGGTGACCGGTCCGGGAGGGTCCAGATAGGAGAGCCCCTTTGCAGCCCCGCAGGCTTAGCCCTGCCAACGCGCCCCTGCAAAGCAACAGGAGCTGGAGCCGTTTGGAGTTGGGGGGGGTTGGGCGCCGCGTATGGGTTAGGGGGAGTCCAGCAGTGGCCGATTGGACGGCCAGGAGGGAGAGCGGAGGCCTGATTGGCTGGAGGCCGGATCCTTCTGGGTGATCTGTTCTCGCTGAACTGGAAGGGGAGGGGGTCGCGGGTCGGCGTGCCACGCCCCCCGCCCAGCTCAAAACTCCCCTAAATTTAAAAAAAATGCCCGAGCCCCCCCACCCTTTTGCATCTCTCCTTTTGGCAAAGCTGCAGACATGGAGAATCGGTGTGTGTGTGTGGGGGGGCTTTCTTGCCGGGCCGTGGGGGCGGGGAGTGGGCTCTAACTCGGGAAAGCTCCGCGGGATTCAATGCTGGATAGCCTTAAAGGGCCGCTAGTTTCGGTTGCAGACCCAACCCCAAACAAAAACCCAAAAAAGGCGTTCGCCTCGGATTAGGACGAACCAAAGAATACGAACGTGTATTAACCAAGTTGGGTCTTTCGACGTGGGTCCTAATAATGGACCTGAACTTTTCCGATCAGGGCTCCCCTTAGTGACTGCTTGGGGTAGCACAGTCGAGGAGGGACCTGGATCCTGACGCACCGCAGGGGGACGGTTCGGTGGTTGCCAACAGGCCTGGAGAAAAATGCCCTGGCCCTTTAATAGAGGCTTCGTGCCTGGAAATGGGCAGGGAAAGCTTTTGACAGCCTGGAGGTAAATCACACACCCCTGATAAATAACAACCTGCTAAATCTCTGTTCAAAGGACAGGACATTTTTCCCCCACCAGGCAGTTGGCCACCCAGCTCAGAGGGCATTTAATTGCCTTCAGGAGGTATTTAAATGCCTTTTGAGTTCCCTTCCCCAGGGCAGGAAGGCTTAGAAGGGCACCTTCAGTACATCTCCAGCAAATCCCCCTTTTTGCAAGCCCAGTACCATCTAGGTCATGGTCAAAAATAAGGTTTCTGGCATGGCTATTTGTGGGGCAGGGGTTTTAATTAAGGGGGCAAGGCCCCAAGATGCCCTACCGTCACTACGGGCCTGGTAAGGGTCCAGTAGCACCTTAAAGACTCACAAAATTTGTAGCAGGGGATGAACTTTTGTTGAGTCACTGCTTATTTCTTCAGATATATGAGCAGTGACTCACGAACGTTCATCCCCTACAAACTATTTCTTTTTGGTCTTCAAGGTGCTGCTGGACTCTTGATCTTTTCTGCTGCTGCAGACAGACTAACGCGGCCACCCATCTTGATCTGTCGACAGCATTATTTTTGTGAGAGCAAAAATGCTTTCGAGGTCATGTCCCCTGCGGATTCCTTGTGGCTCTGTTTGTTTTTTAACACTACCCTCCCCTTGTCTTTCAGGAGATGTCTGATTCTCAGGGGGAAGATGAGCGGAACGGCACGCCTGAGGCCCCTGCTGCGCCAAAGGAGCCCTCTCGAAGCCGATGCCCCCTGTGCACGCAGCCTTTCTCGGCTCCCCGAATCCTGCCCTGCTTGCACACCTTTTGCACCGCCTGCCTGGGACGGCTGGAGCCCTTCTCAGACCTGGCCTTGCGCCACGAGGACTCGGATTCTGGCTCAGATGGGTCTTGGCTCCGTGGCCAGCAGCAGAATCACCAGCCGCCGCCACCGCTCAGCATCCTCTGCCCGGTCTGCGACACTGAAGTCGATCTGCCCCCGGGCGGGGTCGAGGACTTGCCCACGGACCACGTGGCCCTGAACGAGGCGTTGCTGGAGGCCCTGCGAGGGGCGGGCCTGGGCGTCGCCTGCGACCTCTGCGCGGATGGGGAGGCCGTCAAGCGGTGCCAGGCCTGCCGGCTCTGCCTCTGCCACTTTTGCTGCCAGGCTCACAAGTGGGTGCTCCCCCTGGATTGTCCCAGCCTGACATGCCCAGCTTGAGTGCGAGCTGATAGGGATGCCAGCCTCCAGGTGGGACCTGGGAATCCCCTGGAATTACAGCTCATCTCCAGAGTACAAAGATGGAGGCTTTGGAGGGGGGGGGGACTCCAGGACATTGCCCCCCACTGAGGCCCCTGTCCTGCCCAGGCTCCATCCCCAAATCTCCGGGAGTTTCCCATCCTGGGTCTGGCAAACCCACCCCCACACCAGTGGCCAGGGGGGACAGGGCAGCCCTAGCCTTTTCTCCTTTAATGCCCACTAAACAAGATAATAGGCTATTGTAGCAGGAACTCCTTTGCATATTAGGCGACACACCCCTAATGTAGCCAATCCTCCAAGAGCTTACGGTAGCCCCTGTAAGCAGAGCTCTGTAAGCTCTTGGAGGATTGGCTACATTAGGGGTGTGTGGCCTAATATGCAAAGGAGTTCCTGCTATAAAAAAGAGCCAGATGAGGCCCCGTGTTCTTTTATTTTAACTGAAAATAAGCCTTGGAGATGGGTGGTGGTGGTGGTCAGGCGACAGTCTGCCTGACTTGCTAGCTTACAGCATGCAGAGAGTTTTTAATTTATTTATTTTTAATTAATTTATTCATACGTACGTACCAAAGCGGCTTTTTCCGCATTGTTCTCCTCTCCCTCATCAGAATCCAATCCTTTTAACTTGAATGTGGTTCATGTTTCCTGTCGGAATAGCTGACCCCTGTCTATTTTTGTCTAGGGGTGGCTATGTACAGTGATCTGTCCTAAACCTTTGGGTTTAAACCAAAAACGACTGATTGACCAGGAAGCGGGGGGTGCATTTAATTACTTAATTAAAGTATCCGTACCCTGCTTTTCTCCCCGTAGCTGCTTACGACCAACCAAATCCCCATTTTAAAAAACAGTACACCCCAGCCGTATTTTGCAGTGGCCATGTCCAGAATTTTGTTTCCGCCTCATTCGGTGTAATGTGTTGCACAGCTCTGGATGTTCCAAAGACAGTGAACTTTGGGGGGTTTGTAAGAGGGGTCTGGATTAGAAAAGTCAGCCTCAGAGAGACAAAGCCAGATCAGCGGTTGCTTTGAGGTCATAAGAGCATAAGAAGAGCCCTGCTGGATCAGACTGGAGGTCCATCTAGTCCAACATCCTGTCTCACACAGTTTCTCTGGATGGCCAATAACAAGGCATGGAGGCCGAGGCCTTCCCCTGATGCTGCCTCCTGACCCTGGGATTTGGAGGTCTACTGCCTATGAATGCAGAGGTCTCTTTAGTCACCCTGGCTTCTTGTTGTTGTTGTTCAGTCGCACAGTTGAGTCCGACTCTCTGCAACCCCATGGACCAGATCACGCCAGGCCTTCCTGTCTTCTGCCATCCTCAATTTCATGTTCGTTGCATCTATGACACTAACCATCTCATCCTTTGCCGTCCCCGTCTTCTTTGACCTTCAGTCTTTCCCAGCATCAGGGTCTTCTCCAGTGAGTGCTCCCTTCTCATTTGGTGGCCAAAGTATTTGAGCTTCAGTTTCATTATCTGGCCTTCCAGGGAACAGTCAGGGTTGATTACACCCTGGCTAGTAACCACTAATAGACCTATCTTCTATGAATCTGTCTAATCCCTTTTCAAAGCCATCTATCCTTATGGCCATCTCTTTGTCCTCTGGCAGCAAATTCCACATGTTATCCACATTTCGTTTTAACCATGTCTTGAGAGCCAGTGTGGCGTAGCGGTTAGGAGTGGCGGACTCTAGTCTGGAGAATCTGGACTCTAATCTGGAGATTCCCCACTCCTCCTCCACCTGCAGCCAGCTGGGTGACCTTGGGTCAGTCACAAGTTCTCTCAGAGCTCTCTCAGCCCCACCTACCTCACAGGGTGTCTGTTGTGGGGAGAGGAAGGGAAAGGAGATGGTAGGCCGCTCTGAGACTCTGACTGAAGGGCGGGTTATAAATCAAATCTCTTCTCCTTCAAACCCCGGGTTGAATCCCCACTCTACCATGGAAGCTGGTTGGGTGACCTTGGGCCAGTCACACACTAACCATCCTCACAGGGTTGTTGTGAGGAGAAAATGGAGGAGAGGAGATGTACGCTGCTTTGGGCCCCCGCTGGGGGAGAAAGGCAAGCTATACATCGAGGAAATAACATTTGTTCGGCCATTGTGTAGAAAAGTATTTTCTTTTGTCTGTCCTGAATCACAGCCGTTTTTGCCATCCAGGGCAATCCGGTGTCCTCCAGCTTACCCTGGTATCTTATATCTTCAGGAGGCAGAAGAAGACCGCTTCTCACGCCGTCGTGGAGCTGCGGGACCTGAAGGGCTACACCCGCCTGGAGAAACCCATCCACTGTCCTGCCCACCCTTCAGAGGAGCTGAGGCTCTTCTGCGAGCGCTGCGACCGGCCCGTGTGCCAGGAGTGCGTGGTCGGGGCCCACCGGCAGCACCCTTACAACATGGCCGCCAACGTCATCCACAAGCACGGGGACTCGATCCGGGAGCTCGTGAAGGTCACCCAGCGGCACGTGGGAACCCTGCGGGGGGGCCTGAGCCGGATCGAAGAGGTCGGAGAGAGCCTTGACCGCCGAGCAGAGGCCGTGGCCCTGGAGATCCGCGCTTTTGCCGATGGGTACATGAGGGCCGTCGAAGAGCACCGGGACAGGCTGCTGCGGACGCTGGAGGAGCTGAGAGTCCAGCGGGAGACTCAGCTGCATTTGCAGAAGGCCCAGCTGCAGCAGCTGCTGCAGGACATGCAGACGGGGGTGGACTTCACCGAGCGGCTGCTCACCAGCGGCTCGGACCTGGAGATCCTTCTCACCAAAGGGGTGGTGGAGAACCGGCTGCGGGGGCTCAATTATGTGGACTATCACCCCCACCCTGTCGCTGACGACAGGATCCAGTTCTCTCCTCACGAGAGGGGGGCCCTCATTCAGAGCTATGAGATCTTTGGGGTCGTTCTCAACAGAGCCACTGATCCAAGCAAGTGTGTCGTGAAAGGGAAAGGTAAGGTGATCTGTTGACACCAGTTTCTCGACCGGACGCGCTATGCAGGGATCCCCAACATGGTGCCCGTGGGTGTCATGGCAACCGGCGACACCTCTTCTAGTGCCTGTGAGGTGGAAGTGGGTGGGGCCTGGTAGGACTTTTGCCCAGCAAGGCTTTTGATTGAGTATTAGAGATTTGATTGGCAGTGCAGATTTTTAAAATTTTGCTTAGGCAGCAACTGCCTCCGCAGCACAAGGATCTGCCCTGTGTGACTGAAGGTCAGCCGTGGTGGCCATTTTGTGGCAGCCATTTTGTTGCGGCACCCACCATGCCTTGCCAGCACTCCAAATGTGCCCTCAGGCTCAAAAAAAAATTGGGGATCCCTGCGTTATTTAGTTTGGAAAGGCGGGCCAGTCATGGAAATGCAGGAAGGAGAGGGGGGCGGGTCGGTGGCGGCTGGACACAGTCTTCCCCGTCTGTTTTGCTTTTTTTCAGATGTTGCCGGCCTCCGTCGGAGTGAGCCTGTTGGCTTGATGCTGCTGTGTAAGGACGGGTCAGGCGAGCGGGTGGAGAGAGGTGGAGAGCCCGTCCGAGTGACCGTTTCCCACAAAGAGAGGAAAGACTGGTTGGTGGTTTGTTCCACAAGGGGTGGGATGCATTGGCCTCCTTCTCTCCTCCTCTGGAACGTTCTTCTAGTGGCCAGGGTGGTAGAATGGGGTGTACCACTTAAGATCGCAGGCAGGGTCACATTTTTGAATGCTGTCCCGTAGGTAAACTCCCTGCAAATAAAAATTGGCATCAGGCACAGACCAGGCACACGGCAGGCCTAGGCAGTAGCGGGGGGGGGGGGGCATTGGAGGGCTGGGAGCAGCTAGCCTGTCCCCACCCCCAGCTGGGAATGGTAGAGCAGTAAGTAGCAGCTCTGAAACTTGGGGCACCCGCCCCACCGCTGAGGCCAGGATCCAGCTGTACCCCCAGAGCTACGGACCTGTTCCTTCAGCGGGAATGCACTGGAGATTAGTTTTAGGTGGTGCATCAGGGAAACAGTCTGCGGAAGCCACTTGGGGTGGGGTGGGGGAGGGATCTCGCCCTTAAGCACAGTTCCTTCGCAGTTTCTTTTCCCTTCTGTTGAAGAATCCCTCCGTTTGTCAGCTAAAACTCAGATATTTCCAAAAGAGACAAAGGAAAATCCAGAACCAAAAGCCATATAATTACCTTCTAAAAGTTATGTTGTTTTTATTTTACTCCATTTAAAGGGTCTTCATGAAAAGTTCTAGAGAGCTTGAAAACATGGACAATTTGGGGAGGGGGGGTTAATCTGCATTAGAGCAATGTGGCTGCCAGCAGCCTCTGTCTTTTTTTTGGGGGGGGGCAGAATGATAGAGACAAACCGGATTCAAAATTCAGGTGGGGGGAAGCCGTGTTGGTCTGAAGCAGCAGAACAAAGTTGGAAGTCCGGAGGCACCTTTAAGACCAACAAAGTTCATGTGCAATGTCTGGAATTTTTGTCTGAATCTGTCTGAAGAAGTGCGCTTTGCACACAAAAGCTTACACTTTGAATAACACTTTGTTGGTCTTAAAGGTGCGACCGGGCTCCAACTTTGTAAAACATTCAGTTTTTCAAGCCCGGCCACTGCTGAGAAAGTGAGAGAAGAGATACAAGACACGTGGTATACGAGATTTAGAGTTCACTGTGGTCAGATACAGGCCCCTGTCCTGCCACACATCTAGAAGTATACTGTAGTCTGGAAAATTCTATAAATCTTCACACTGGACTTTCGTGGGCTGCAGAACTGCTTTCCTTCTGTCTTTTTAATTGGCAAAACGCAGCTGGCTATTAATGAGCTGGCTTCTGAATTCCCCACAGGGTGCTGGTCTTCAGCCTGTTTTGGTGAGGCCTTGGGGAGATGCTAGGCATGACATCAGCGCAACCAGGCCCAGCGTGAGCCGAACAAATGCTTGTGAAGTGCCGTGTGCCGTGGCGGATGATTTAAAGCAGCAGTGCCCAGCCTTTTCAGTACGGTGACCCACTAGTCTAAATTTCCTTGGTATGGTGACTCACCTAAGGCTGGCCCGAGGTCTTTTTTTGGAGCCCTAGGCAAACTAAGATCTTGGCAACCGTCTAGTTCAGCGTTCTATTTTCTACAAATGGTTTGGAGATAGGGCGGCCAGCCTCCAGGTGGGGCCTGGGGATCTCCCGCTTTTACAACCGATCTCCAGCTGACAGAGATCAGCTCCCCTGGAGAAAATGGCTACTTTGAAGGGTGGACTCTGTGGCATGGTACCATGCTGAGGCCCCTCCCCTCCCCAAACCCCGCCCCTCTGAGGCTCCACCCCCAAAGTCTCCAGGTATTTTCCAACCCAGACCTGGCAGCCCTATTTGGAGAAACCAACAAGCATCAAACGAAGGGAGCAGCTACCCCCACTATGAACCCCAAGCGAGTGTAGGGTTGCCACCCTCCAGGTGGCACCTGGAGATCTCCTCCTATTACAACTGATCTCCAGACACCCAAGATCAGGTCCCCTGGAGAAAACATCTGATTTGGAGGGTGGGCTCTGTGGCATTGTACCATGCTGAGGTCCCTCCTGTCCCAAACCCCACCTTCCCCCAGGCTCCACCCCACAAATCTCCAGATATTTCCCAACCCAGAGCTGGCAACGCTAAGTGAGTAGCATTCCAACATACACAGCCTTCCATTTGCACCAGGGCTATTTTTGGGCAGGAACGCACAGGAACGGAGTTCCGGCTGGCTTCAGAGTTGGCCACGCCCACTACAGCCAAAACCTCTGTGTGTGTGCGTGGCTACGGAGGGAAGGCCTGGAGAACAACACACACACCCCGGTGACACTGAGGCGGGCGGGCCAGGGGGGGCCCTGGAAGGATCGGGGAGGCATTTAAATGCCTCCCTGTGCCTTCCCCGGCCTGTCCAAGGGTTGGCTTGCCCAGGCACCCCGCAGTCACGCGGCGCCCAGGCAAGGCAAGGCATGGGGTGTGGCCTAATATGCTAATGAGTTTCTGCTGCTGGGTGTGGCCTATTATGCTAATGAATTCCGCTTTTTTTTTACAAAAAAAGCCCTGCATTACACCACCTAACCCCCCTAAAATTCTAAGAAACAAGTAACCATGTTTTACTTGATCAACCACGTTTTACTTGATCAACATTTTTATGCAGTGAAGAAAAAAAAAATCAACTCAGGTATGACATGGGAGATACTGTTTCCAGGGTCAGATCTCGGTTCCCAAAACACAAAAGAGAGCAATGTGGCGGCCATCAGGGAGGGCTGGCCAGGGCTTGCTTTTCTTTTCTTTTGCAAAAGAGGTGCCAGAATTCTCAAGAGGGAAATGAAGTTTTCAGTTTGTACACTTTGAAACATTTTAAGAAGAATTTTGCCAAAGAGGTTCCGGAACTCCATTCCAGCACATTCTCCCCCAGAAAAAAAAGGCCTGGGGCTAGCCCGTATTGCACTTTCAAAGGCTTCGTGACCTACTTTTGGGTCCCAACCCACAGTTTGGGAAATGCTGATCCCATCTCTTCCCAGTTGCTTTTTTCCCAACAAGTATTACATTTTTCATTTTGGAAGCCCACTGGGGAGAAGCAGCTTCAAGGGGGAAGGCCGTGGAAGGGGAGGCTGCAAAATCCCTTCCTGCCTAGGGTTGCCAGGTCTGGGTTGGGAAATGCCTGGAGACTTTGGGGGGGTGGATCCGGGAGAGGGCGGGGTTTGGGGAGGGGCCTCAGCATGGTAGAATGCCATGGAGTCCACCCTTCAGCGCAGCCATTTTCTCCAGGGGAGCTGATCTCCCGTCAGCTGGAGATCGGTTGTAAAAGCGAGAGATCCCCAGGCCCCACCTGGAGGCTGGCAACCCTATGTCTAACACAGTTCAAATTGTCAATCATTTGGCACAGCCTGATTGCGAGATATGTGTGCCTGCTGCCAGCTCACAAAGCAACGGTCCAAAATGCCATTTGTGGAACACGCTTTTCGGTCTGGTTAAGTAAAAGGCTGTCACACCATCTTCGGTACCTGGAACTTCAGAATGAACAGCCCCTTCCCCTTAGAGATTTAAAACATTAGGACTTCTCATTGGAAAGGACATTTCCCCCCCTCTGCATATCTTTTCCCCTCCATATTTTCTTCTGTGCATCAGATCTTGCCATAATAAATAGATGATATGGTATACACTGGCCTCATCGGGATAGCTTGTATTTCTTTATTTAGATATTTATATGCTTTTGATGCCAGTGGGGAACCTATACAATACCATTCTCCCCTTCTCCACTCCATCCTCACAACAACCCTGCGAGGCAGGTTAGGCTGAGATAGACTGGCCCAAGCCCACCTGTTGGGTTCATTGCATGGGGGGGTGAGCAGAATTTGAACCCAGGTTTCCCATATCAGGATCTGATGTGCTAGCCACAACAGTGCACTGGTTGTGCGCTGAGAGATGTGTCAAATGGGAAAAATTTTGGCCCACAAGTTTTGCTCTTATTCAAGGGGGGGGGGGGAATCTCAGAGCTGCAGGGTCAAAATCCAGATCTAAACAAATCTCTGTTTGGCATAGTGGTTCAGTGCACGGACTCTAATCTGGGAGAACCGGGTTTGATTCCCCACTCCTCCACTTGCACCTGGCTGGATGACCTTGGGCAAGCCTTAGTTCTGATAAGAGGTGTTGTTGAAAAAAGAGCAGTTTCTGTCAAGAGCTCTCTCAGCCCCACCTACCTCACAGGGTGTCTGTTGTGGGGAGGGGAAGGAGTTTGTAAGCCACTCTGAGTGAAGGACAGGGTATAAATCCAATCTCTTCTTCTTCTTCTCTTGCACATGGGGCTTAACAAACACTCTTTTCCCATGAAAACCAAGGACCGGTTTCCTGTCTATCTCCTCCAGTGCGACCAAGGCCATCATATGTGACAACCAAGACGGGACATACCACATTACTTTCACCCCTGAGGAGCCGGGCAGATACACCATCAGCATCTTTGTCAGAGGGCAACATGTGCAGGTAACATTTCCCATTTGCCCTGGGAAGAGAGGAAAGCATGGATTCTGGGAGGTCGGTCCAGAAAGGGCCATGGGCAGGAAAGGCCAAGAGAGGCCTGAGGCTCAGCGTTTCCAGTGAGGCAGGAAACCAGCAAGAGCTGGAGGAGTTAAAAGCAGCATGCTTCCGGCCAGAGAGGGCGTTTGTAAGATGAGCCGTAATAAGTCACAGGAAGCGGGCAGAGCCAGGCAATGCGATGCTGAGGTAACTTCGGCAGTAGCGGAGATTGTGAGAGACCCCCGTTCTCATTCTCGGAGGTGCCCCTCACAGGGATGGACTGTGACATAAAACCGGCTCTGGGAAAAGCCCAGCGTTGCTTCTCGCCCACATCCTGTGATGTCCCTTCTAGGCCAGCACTTAAATCCTTCCAGGCCGTGGTGGCACTTAGGTGAGGAGCCGGTGGCTGCTGGGCCTCTGCCTCGAAAAGACCATGGCCCCGGGGCAACCACCACAAAAGTCACTGCACCCACCCTGTGCCTCCCCTTCCTCATAAACAGGAGGTTGTGGGTCAGGCAACCAAGATGGCACCTTGACCACGCCTTCATGGCCTTCCGGGGCGCTGCCCCATCAGGGACAGCCCCATCAACGAAAGGACCCGTCTGTGCTTCTGAGGCTCTCCACAGTCAGAAGGACTAATCATACCTTAGTTTGTTCCTACTTTTGATTTCTGCAGGAGCTTTAGCATTCACGGCTTTCTTTCTGTAGGGTCACACAGGCTACATGCCACAGAGTTTTGGCCGCTCCTCTCTTCTCCTGTGTTGTAATGGGAAATGCCGTCAAGCTGCAGCCGACTTGTGGCAACCCCTGTAGGGTTTTCAGGGCCGGAGAGGTTCAGAGGTGGTTTGCCACTGCCTGCCTCTGTGTAGCAACCCTGGTATTCCTTGGAGGTCTCCCATCCAAATACTAACCATGGCCCATCCTGCTTACAGGCCTGTAGCTAACGTGGGGCCCATGCCCCCCCCTGTTTTTTTTTTGCGGGCCCCTCCCTCCGGCCCCCTCATCCCCTAATCGATCTGAGCCGGCGTCTCCCTGTTTGAGCTCATCTGCGATGAGCTGAGTCTCTTAAGGACCCACCAGCAACCGGTGGTTGACTGAGTCACACACACAATGGTCGGATTGCAGCAGTTCGCTCCTCCTGGCTCAGGGAAGGAGTGAGGGAGGAAGCTTGATCCCCACTCTCCTTTTTAAAAAAATAAACACGGCAACTTTCCTAGAGCTTTTAGTGTCTATTAACGTTGGGATTCTGGTTCGCCTCAGAGGAAGGGTCTAGTGGGGGCTGTGTGGGTGCACGCCAAGCAGCCCCCCTTGCCCTGGAGCCTTTGATGTAATTAGCTGGTGCCCCCCCAAGGCCCCCTCCCCCCAAAATCCCTAGCTACGGGGCTGCCTGCTTAGCTTCCAAGATCTGACAAGTTTGGCTAGCCTGGTCCACCCAGGCGATATTGATTACAGTACTATAATTAATATGTTCCGTGAGTGTATTAAGGAATCCTCCTTGGGGAGGGGTCGTGGCTCAGTAGTAGAGCCTTTGCTTGGCACGCGAGGTCGCAGGTTCTGTCCCCGGCATCTCCGGTTAAGGACTGGGTTGTTCATGATGTGAAAGGGCTGTCTGAGACCCCGGAGAGCCGCAGCTGGTCTGAGCAGGCAATGCTGAGTAGACGATACAGACCTTGAGGGACGTCAAGTGTTCATATTTAAATACGTTTCCACCACATTAAAACTAACTGAAGCAATCGTCCCGAAGGCTATTAATTATTGTAAAAGAAACTGTCGTCCAAGGAAACAAAGGCTGGAAATAAAATAAAGGTTGAAGATGTGATTGTGTACTATGAAATGCAGAAAAGGGCAACTCGAATGATAAAAGGGTTGGAACACTTTCCCTATGAGGAAACGTTAAGGCGCTTAGGGCTCTTTAGCTTGGAGAAAAGACGACTGAGGGGTGACGTGATTGAGGTTTATAAGATTATGCATGGGATAGAGCAGGTAGAGAAAGAGGTACTTTTCTCCCTTTCTCACAATACAAGAACTCGTGGGCACTCCATGAAATTGCTGAGCGGTCGGGTTAGAACGGATAAAAGGAAGTACTTCTTCACCCAAAGAGTGATTAACACTTGGAATTCACTGCCACAGGAAGTGGTGGCGGCTACAAGCATGGACAGCTTCAAAAGGGAATGGTGGACCTCCTGATGGCACTGGTATTTCTGGCCAATGTGTGACACAGAGTGTTGGACTGGATGGGCCTTTGGCCTGATCCAACATTGGTATCTCTTTATGTTCTTATGAAATTCTTCAAACAATGGCTCCACAGCCTCTTTCTATATTTACTTTTCTGAATAAGGTTGGTGTTTTTCCCAGCTGATTTTATCCCACAGCTGTGTTTGTTCTCAAGACGATTGTAGAGGTTTAACAGCAATAATAATAGTTGGCGTCTATGAGGTCATCCTTCGGTGGGGCCCACAGGATGAAAGCCTGTTCCTTTGGTGACTTGTTCTCCGCAGGGATCCCCGTTCACCATGGCGGTGAAGAACAAGCTCCGTCAGCACCGCGGCCTCTTCCACTGCTGCACCTTCTGCTCCAGCGGAGGGCAAAAAGCAGCCCGGTGTGCTTGCGGGGGAACCATGCCTGGTAAGTCTCCTCCCCGCCTCTGCCCCTTTCGAAAAGTTGCCTGGCTTATGAGCATACGTCATGTCCACTATTAGATATCTGCAGGGCTATTTTGGGGCAGGAACGCGCAGGAACGGAGTGCCGGCTGGCTTCAGAGTTGGCCACGCCCACTACAGCCAAAACCTCTGCGTGTGTGGCTACAGAGGGAAGGCCTGGAGAGCGACCCCCCCGGCGACTCCAAGGCGGGGTGCCAGGAGGGGCCTGGAAGGATTGGGGAGGCATTTAAATGCCTCCCCATGCCTTCCCCGGCCTGTCCAAGGGCCGGCTTGCCTGGGCTCCCCACAGTCGTGGGGCGCCCGGGCAATCCAAGGTAAGGCATGGGGTGTGGCCTAATACGCTAATGAGCTGTGTTGTCAGGGGTGTGGCCTAATATGCTAATGAATTTCTGCTATTGGGTGTGGCCTGTTATGCTAATGAGTCCCTGCTGGGCTTTTTCTACAAAAAAAGCCCTGGCGGTGCTCATCTCCATTTCCAAGCTGTCCAAAAACACTTCCGTGGTCATGTGGCTGGCATGACTAGACACTGAGGTGCACGGAACACTTACCTTCCCACAGAAGCTGTACCTATTTATCAACTTGCAATTTCTTGCTTTTGAACTGCTAGGTTGGCAGGAGCTGGGACCAAAGACAGGAGCTTACTCCATCATGCGGCACACTCGGGTCTCGAACTGCTGAACTACCGACCTTCCAGTCTGCAGTTCAGTGTCTTAACCACTTGAGCCACCACAGCCCTTATGCCATTAGTAGCCATAACCATTTCTTAAGTTGTGCCCCTAGGCCTTTTCTCATGGGATTTGGCCTTGGACACCTTCCTGCTAGGCTAGCTTAGATAAGGCACCAGGGGTGTGGCCTAATAGTCTAATGAGTTCCTGCTGTTGGGTGTGGCCTGTTATGCTAATACGTTCCTGCTGGGCTTTTTCTACCAAAAAAGCCCTGGATATCTGTAACAATGGAGGCTGCTGTGCAAAACAGGGAGTTTTATGGACCTTTGCAGTAATCGAAAACCTCTTGGAAGATGAAGGAAGATTCATGGTTTGTCATTCATAGTATCACCCTGACCTGGATAGCCCAGGCTAACCCAGTCTTGTCAGATCTTGGAAGCTAAGCTGGGTCGGCCCTGGCTAGCATTTGGATGGGTGACCTCCAAGGAATACCAGGGGCGAGCACAGAGGCAGGCAATGGCAAAATCATCTCTGAAACGTCTCTTGCCTTCAAAAACAAGTCAAGCTCGCCACCGAGTGGTGCATAACGCCAAAAGAGCTAGCACTCCTGACTGCCAGACAATCTTAGGATCTCCTGCCTGTGCTACACACAATGCCATACTATAATTATTATTCATTATTACCAACCCAGATTAGCTTCTGAGATCTGGTGAGATTGGGCTATCCCATGCCAGCTTCCTTCCCCAAAACAGCTTACGCACGATAGGATCAAATGAAAATCTAAACACGCAGTGCATATAAAACTATTAAGTGATTTCATAAAAGAACTTGGGAGAGAAGAGACACCCCAAAGTGTGGTGTAGAGAGCGGTTGGGTGGTGTAGTGGTTAGCGCCTCGGACCAGGTTCTGGGAGCTTTGCCGCTCTGCCATGGAAATTTCCGGGTGACCTTGGGCCAGTTACAAAATCTCAGCATAACCTACCTCACAGGGTTATTCTGAGGATAAAATGGGGGGATGAGATAAGCTGATTTGGGTCCTCACTGGGGAGGAAGTAAATAAGTAATGGAAACACACTTCCAGTTCAATCCCAAAGGGACGTACCTTCCAGTTGGTGGATGCGAGCGCTACGCAGGTCCAGCAGCCGGGCCATGCGCTGCTCCTTCTCCTCGTGGTCCTTCTTCTCCTGCTCGGCCCGCAGCACCACCCCATCCAGCTCCACCTTGGAAACAGCGGGGTAAAGTCAGGCTCTCGCACAACTGGGGCCGATGTCAGAACTCCCTTCCCGCCCCCCCAGCCCTACGTTCCACTTTGAGAACAAGGCACAGCTGAGATGAAGTGCCTTGACCCGTTTGGGAGCCATACAGGGGAACAGCCATTTGGGTTGCTGGCCTGGAGTGAGAAGGGACAAGGAGGGGGTGAAACTGACCCCTTCCTCAGCACAGGAGTGCTTGAACATTGGGTTGCCAGCCTCCAGCTGGGGCCTGGAGACGTCTCATCACAACTATGACTCGTCTCTAGACTAGAGAGAGAGCAGTTCCCAAGGAGAAAATGGCTGCTTTGGAGGGTGGACTCTATGGCAACTCATCGCTGCTGCTGAGCTCCTAGGTCCACAGACCTGGGAACGGGCCATTAGCCAGGATTTTATGGCTTGTGGGGCAGAATTTTTTTTCCTGGTGGGGCTGAAGTTCTCAGTGCAGAAAGAAAAGCCATTTAGCCAACAGAAAGCTGTTACCAGGCTAGATCTCTAAACTGCAAGCTGTCAGCCACTTTATTTATTTATTTATTTATACATTCGATTTATTTACCGCTCTGACCCCCGAAGGGTCTCCGAGCGGTTTACAGGTAGTTTCAAATACATTTTTCCCTAACTAAGGCCACATGGTATACAGGGGTGGGGCTGCCTACCAGCACCCAGGTGGCAGGGCTGTTGTTCTCCGGCTCCGGCATTCTTGACTCTAGAAGTCGTCACCCCCAACTGCCAACTTATTATCAGAATGGTTGCTTAGGCTGACAGAAGTGATTAACTTGCAGCAGCTGAGAACTGTCATCTAAAGAAAGCTAACACTTCGGCAGAAAAACTGTCTTAAAGGAGACCAGTTTCTTGACACAGCATTAGAAGGGTTCCTGGAGGTCACCTATTCCAACCCCCTTGCTCAGTGTGGGAGTGAGTCAACTACAGCACCCCACTCTGCTTAAAGGAGCGCACACCTTTTAAAAAAAACGTTTTTAAAGGATTAAAAAAGCATTTACAGGAGAAACTCTTGTAAAGCTGTGCCTTTAAGAAAGGGGACGGAGCCCGCAAAAGCCCCACCGTAGCTGAGGGCCTGCCTGGGAATTATCTTTCCCCGTGTCAGAAGACTTTGTAAGAACAGAGAGGGATGCAGGAAAACTCCACATTCCATGCATAGAATGGCAGGATTCTGCCCCATCTGTATGTTCGATGATACAGCCTGTCTCCAGGCAACGGCGGCTACCATCTCCAACAAACGTTTCTTTCTTTCTGACGGGGCAGGAGGCTACCAAGGCTGTGGTCACGGCCACAAAGGCCACCCGGGCTCACCTCACTGGTCGTGCTGCGGCAACGTCGCGGAAGCGTCCGAATGCTCCATCAAGCAGCCCCATGAGGATTCTCTGCAAAGAAGCCTCCTCAGAACTGTGGCACTGTGAGCGCGCACGGGGGGGGGGGCTTGGTGGGGCAGGGTGCGTGGTGCCGTTCTACCACGGCAGCAGAGCTTCGGCCAACAAGAAGTCGCCCCCTGCTCTGGTCTGAAATGCTGAACGGGGAAGACGACGCAAGAGAAAATAAAGAAGTGCCTTTTATCCCACTCTGGGGCTGTGTGTGGAAGGATCGTTTGTGCGTGCCTGAGGCAAGGGTGTGTTGGTCTCCTTCATTTATGCCCTGCCTTCCTCCCCAGTGTGGACACAAAGTGGCCTAGCAGATTGATCCAGAACCAACTGTGTATTCTGCAATGAGTCACACCAGCAGAATTATGCCCTTCTAAGTCTACTGAGGGGCCGCGGTGGCTCAGAGGTTAAGACGCTGAGCTGAAGACCGGAAGGTCTGTAGCTCCAGTTCGAGACCCGAGTGTGCCGCGTGATGGAGTGAGCTCCCGTCTCTGGCCGCAACTCCTGCCAACCTAGCAGTTCGAAAGCAAGAAATTGCAAGTAGATAAATAGGTACCGCTTCGGTGGGAAGGTAACAGCGTTCCGTGCGCCTCGGTGTCTAGTCATGCCGGCCACATGACCATGGAAACAGCTCTTTGGCTTTGAAACGGAGATGAGCACCGCAACCCTAGAGTCGGATTCGACTGGCTTTCGAGCAAGGGAACCTTTACCTTTACTTTAACTCTGTTTAGGATTGCAGCTGTTCTCTCAGGAGCAGTTCTTGAAAGAGCTCTCTCAGCCCCACCTACCTCACAGGGTGTCTGTTGTGGGGAGGGGAAGGAGTTTGTAAGCCGCTTTTGAGACTCCTTTGGGTAGTAAAGGGCGGGGTATAAATCCAATCTCCTCCTCCTCTTCATCAAAATATGAATCCAAATCCAGCATATCATTCTTAATGAGTTACAGCTGTAGATTACATGTTTCTAAACATACACAAATTATCCCATCCAAGTACCAATCCCACTTGGTTTCCGAGATGCGTCAAGATCTGGAGGTACAATATCGCCTTCCTTCCTACTGAATTTAACAAGCAGTTATACTCAGAATCCTATTAAACGCTATTCGATCAAATTTATTCCCACGAAAGCATTCTTAAAATGGCACTCTGAGTTTCCAATTAACACACACAGGATTAGCCTGAATAGCTTTTCACTGGGGCTTATGTCCACACGTGTACAGGATTACACCGCAGAAAGCATCAACGTTTAAGAGTGATGGCACAGTTATGTGTCTTCTCTAGTGTAATTTTAGCCGGACCGTCCTCCGAGCAGCTTAGCGTGGCATACAGTCTTCCCTACTTTGCCGTTCACAACCACCCTGCAAAGCAGGTTGCATTGGGGAGACAGCATGGCCCCTAAAGCCACCCAACAAACTTCAGGGCTGAGAGGGGAGCCGAACCCAGGTCTCTCAGTGTCCCACCACCGCACACCCGTTTCTCCAGCCCAAAGGGGCGATAGTGAACACCTTAGGAAGAGAAGACTGACAAAGCGGCCTCACTAGAGCGGCCCAGGCCTTCTTTTGCCTGCACAGCCTCCGTTGCCAAAGTAACGGCACCGAGGGCAACGGAAGAGCCCGTCGCTCCTCTCCTCGCGGCCCGCCCCCTTCCTTCGCCCTCTCAAGCCCCGCCCCCTCCGGTCACGCAGCACGGGGACAGAACCGCTTCCTCGCTTTTCCTCGCAAAGCCTAGAGAGGGGCCGGGGACGACGGATGAGACGCACGCGCAGTGCGAGCCGACACTGGGGCTGCGGCTTCTGCGGCGCCCGTGTTGGGGGAGGAGGAGGAGGGGGCGCCGCGGACTTGGCCGCCAGCCACGCCGACGCGCTGAGGCTGGGCGAGGAGCGCGAGAGGCAGAGCGGGCGCCTGCGGGAGGAGAACGCGCGGCTGAAGCTGGAGAACCGGCGCCTGCGCAGAGAGAACCGCAGCCTCTTCCGCCAGGTCCTGAAGCTGCAGCAGGAGCCGCCGCCGCCCTTGGCCCTCCCCGAGCGGGAGGCGACGCCTGCGGGCCAGTGTCCTTCGCCCCAGGAGGAGGAGATGCTCAGGGACCGTCTGGCTGAGGAGGGACACGAGCTGGGGACGAAGGCGGAGGAGGCGCGCCGGGTGTAGCCTGAGCCAGCCGGAAATCCGAAAAAAGCGCCCGCCGATGAAATCTCCCTTTGCAGCTGGCAGGAGGCGACGGGCGCTCGGGGGCACCCGCTTCGGCCATGGCCCCAGGCCACCGGGAAAGCCGGCGGAGGTGTCGCCTCCCCCTCGCTGACAGCAGGCCGAGACGCACGGAGGGCCGGGCTCCTGCATTCCCCTCTTCGTCGGCCGGCTGGAGACCTCGCGCTCCCCCCTCTCGCCATGTGGTGCAGCTCGTGAAGCGGAGGAAGAGTAGGGTGTTGCTGTGAGGGGCCTAAGAAAAGCATCTGGCCCTCTAATACGCCAGACAAAAAAGGCTAGAATACCCTGTGAATCTTCTGCACAAAAGAAAACACCGCGACAAATCTTGCATGCGAGTCCTGGTGACGCCTGGTAGATGTATAGGCCTATACATGTTGCCTCCGTTTAACAAACCTGATTGATGTACCTGCAAAATAAATGTGCAATGTACTGGATTTTTCTCTTTTTGTCATTTTGTAGAGAGGAGTGCTGCTGTGCCGGGCTCTGTGCAGAGGTTGGGTGGGGAGCTCTGAGGTTCCATTGCTTCTTGGTCCTGACGACCCCTTTGCAAGGCCGTGTCCTTCGCATGCTTGTAACATTCAGAATGCCTAATTAACGCACTTAATGGCTAAAATGTAGCCTGGGCATCCAGTCGCCAGGCTTAAAATTAGGAGAGCGTTGGATAGGTAACATTCAGAATTGGATACTTGTAACATTCAGAATGCCTAATTAAGCAATTGTGGGTTGGCCGGTCCTCTGAAAAAGGGACGCACTTAATGGCTTAAATGTAGCCTGGGCCTGGGCATCCAGTCGCCAGGCTTAAAATTAGGAGAGCGTTGGATAATTCCAGACCTGGGTTTACTTGTTGGCTGTTGCAGAGTCTAAGGGAAAATCATCCCTAAATGCCACAGGGACAAAGACATCAGAAATTAAAATCGTTATAGTTCCTGCTTTAGGTGGAGTGGAAGGAACCATGGCTGACACCTAAATGCCCAGTACCATGTGTCTCTACTCAAAAGCCCCACTTAATTCAGTGGAGCTTACTGCCATGCCCATTGGGGTTTTCAGCCTTGTGCACATGCTGAAGTTTCATACAATCAAAACGGATTGTATACTACCTGTGGTTTCCTTTTCAATGCAACTGCATATGTTTTGACAAAGGTAAAGGTTTCCCTTGCTCGAAAGCCAGTCAAATCCGACTCTAGGGATGCGGTGCTCATCTCTGTTTCCAAGCGGAAGAGCCAGCGCTGCCCAAAGACATTTCTGTAGTCCTGTGGCTGGCATGACTAGGCACCAAGGTGCACGGAACGCTGTTACCTTCCCACCGAAGCGGTACCTATTTATCTACTTGCAATTCCTTGCTTTCGAACGGCTAGGTTGGCAGGAGCTGGGACTAGAAACGGGAGCTCACTCCGTCATGCGGCACACGCTGCAGTTCAGCGTCTTAACCACTTGAGCCACTGCAGCCCTTGGTTCAAATGTCTATGTACCCTGGCTGTTGGGTGGTTTTGTCATAAAGGAATCAAAGAGGCTAATAGTGATTGTTTTTCTTAAAAAACACCAAATTCACGGACACACCAGTTGACAAACAGTAGCCAATGCCAGAAAACAACAAATCCATGAACCAAATGCCCTCTTAAACAATTCTGCTTTATGCTCTTTCCTAAACCTTAAAGGGGGGGGGGTGATTTCCTGACATAAAGCCATTCTGCGACCTGAAGGCTGCTACTGAAAAGGCTTGAAATTAAGCAGTGATTTAGAAGAGCAGATGAAAGCCAAAGTCCCAACTGGAGCTGCTTTGCGGGTTTACCCTGGGAGCAGTGGTCCTCGAAGAGTAATGTTAGTCAACATAGGAAGCAACCAAAAAGAACCTGAAACAACAACAAAAACCCTGCCTGAAAAGCTAGAAATCTCCATTTCGATCATGGGGAAACATCGGGAATAGATAGAGGTGGGCAAATACACAACCACTTGCTAATCAAATACCCTGATACACAATTCTGTGACCATGTGCCAGTCACACCCTTTCAGCCAAACTTACCTCAAAAGGATTGTGAGAATAAAATAGAAGAGGAGAGAACTATGTTGTTAGCTGCTTTGGGTCCCCACTGAGGAGAAAAGTGGGGTATAAATAGTTTAAGAAAATGACTTGAACATTTATTACTTATTTACAGGCATTGTCAGCCCAGTCAGGGCCACTAAGGCAGCTACCAACTAAAAACACAGCAGTTTAAAAACAAATCATAAAAGGAGTTAAAGGTTTCCCTTGCTCGAAATTCAGTTGAATCCGACTCTAGGGTTGCGGTGCTCATCTCTGTTTCCAAGCCGAAGAGCCAGCGCTGTCCGAAGATGTTTCCGGGGCCATGTGGCCGGCATGACTAAATGCCGAGGTGCATGGAATGCAAAGCGGTACCTATTTATCTACTTGCAATTCATGTGCTACGGCAGTGAATAAAGGAAATCTCTTAAGTTAGGGATGATTAGGAAAGGGATTGCAAATGAAACTGCTGGTATTGTAATGCCCCTGTATATAGGGTGTATATTGTGTAGACTCAGAGGACCTGGTCGGCCCCTGCGTGAGACAGAGTGCTGGACTGGATGGACCGCTGGTCTGATCCAGCAGGGCTCTGCTTATGCTCTTATGTTTAAAGCATGTTTGTATTTTGAGTTAAAAATATCGTTAATCGGGGTTGCCTGCGTCCTTTATAAAGTTTATATCTCTGCTACCTGGCATTACATTTTATGTTACATACTGATGTCACATTGTCCCTGAAAGCTATTTTACTTTCACTCTTAGGACCTAAACTGGAATGTACATATTGGTACTGATATTATTTCCAGTATATACCACTACTTCTGACACAAGGCCAGATATATTTGTAGCCCCAAATAGAAATCTTTTGGTGTGTCGTTCAATTCCATATTGGAATATTCCATTTTTGGTCCTATATTATTGATTGATTATTACCTTACATGTGTTACAGGGAGTTTGTTGCTTGGTGTATTTTGTGCTTTCTACTATTTGTCCTCTGAAGAAGGCTCTTGTGAGCCTGTCCTTTTTGTGCATTTGTCACTTTTAACATTTTATGAGGCTTTACTTGGGCCCCTACAAGGTTTTTATGTTTTTGAAATAAACACTTGACACAGAGGTACGCCATCTTTCTGTGTCATACCTCTGAGGATGCCTGTCACAGTTACTGGTGACAGATCTTTGGTGCCTCTGCAAAAGAGAGACCCTGGTTGGTGAGTCGAGCCAGGGGCTTCCCAGAGTGGATTCAGAACTCTTCCTCTCCTTCCAGCCTCCTCCTCCCAACATTCGCATTAGACGGTCAGACTGTTTTACTGACCCCCAGAATCTTCACCTGTGTGAGCTGAGCAATGAATGCTTGTGGCTAGCCCTTCCGATGTGGCCACAAGCACAAGTCAGCATGACCACATGGAAAAACTGGATCGTCACAAGCAAGTGGGGGTGCTCGTGGGACTGGGCTTTCCGTTGGGTTTCCCAGGCACTTCCAGGCACATATGGGTGCTTCAAAGGTAGGAAAAGGGAAGAACAGCAAACACCCAGGAAGATTTTTAAAAATATTTCTAAAATGAATTACCAACAACATTGCACATTGATGCTAAACTTTTTTTTAATCAAACTGTTTAGAGAAGAAGAAGAGAGACTGGATTTATACCCCGCCCTTCACTCAGAGCGGCTTACAAACTCCTTTCCCTTCCCCTCCCCACAACAGACACCTTGTGAGGGAGGTGGGGCTGAGAGCTCTGACAGAAACTGCCCTTTTTCAATGACAGCTCTGACAGAACTATGGCTTGCCCAAGGTCATCCAGCAGCTGCAAGTAGAGGAGTGGGGAATCAAACCCGGTTCTCCCAGATTAGAGTCCGCGCACTTAACCACGACACCAAACTGGCTTTATTGAGGATTGAAATAAAATACAATGCAGTACTTGGCAAAGCATGAATGAAAACAATTTAAAAATTATCATTAAGTTTGTGGTGAATCAAGGATTGCCATTACACATTATCTGCTAATTTTTGAGTTTAATCATTCAAATAATTAAAAATAAAAATAAATGGAGTTCAAGCCAGTTTTAAAGATCCTTCAACTACTTAATGGTAAAGATATAAGGTGTGTGAACCAATTAAAGGTGCTCTCTGTGAAGTTCCTGCTGTGTCAACAAAAGCATCTAGCCATAATGACCATTTGGCCACAATACCAGTGGAGGTAACATGTCTTGCTGCGCAATCCAGTCTGACTAGGTCTTGCCCATTAAAAAATATCCCCCTACCTTTTGGTTCCACTGATGCTAAACTTCAGAATGCTTTCGATTTAATGACTCTGCTCAGCAGGGTTTTTTTTGTAGAAAAAGCCCAGCAGGAACTTATTAGCACAATAGGCCACACCCCTGACAACACAACTCATTAGCATATTAGGCCACACCCCATGTCTTCCCTTGGCAAGCTCCCCTTTGAAGGGAAGGGAAGGTACAGGGAGGCATTTAAATGCCTCCCCGATCCTTCCAGGGGGGCCCTGGCCCACCCGCCTCGGAGGGGGTAGGTTTGCTCTCCAGGCCTTCCCTCTGTAGCCACACACAGAGAGGTTTTGACTGTAGTGGGTGTGGCCAACTCTGAAGCCAGCCGGCACTCCGTTCCTGTGCGTTCCTGCCCAAAAATAGCCCTGCTGCTCAGCATCTGAGCTTTTCCCTCCTTTTCAGTTTCACAGTCATGGTGAGGGAGCCTGTTGAGTCAAATCGCCCTCTGCCACTGAAGAAAACCCAGTTGCCTCTGGCTGCGTCTTCACATTGCTTTTGGCTGTCACTGCAGGCACCTTCCTCAAATCTCTCTCCAGCATTAAGAGGAAAAACCACCTTGTTTTTGATTGGCACCCCTGCGTTCTAGTTACCGCTGGAGATCACGGAGCATCCGCTCAACACACAAAAGTGCCACCTGAGCAGAGCAGGGCGGCTTGCCCTAGATGAGCAAAAATTGGATCCCCGTCTTTCTTCTTGGGTACCTCCCACTCATCCTTTTCTGCCAGAAACCCTCCTATTCCAACAACAAGCTTTCGGTCTTTAAATGTAATTTTTCGCATCACAAAATTAAAATGTTTACCTTTCACAAAATTCTTAGGTGGGGTGAATCACTGTGCCGGTCGGAACAGAGCACCCGGTGGCCCAACTCTGGCTGTGGCCCCTTTGCGTGAGACAACAGTTGTTCCTGTGACTTCCCAGGGCAGAGATGGGCTCTTCTGCTTTGCACGAAGAGGCCTTTTCTTCCCAGTGTCCAGCACTATCCTTGAGCAGCAGAGGGCAAAAAAACAACAACAGATGAAGAAGAAAAAGAAGATATTGGATTTATACTCTGCCCTTCACTGCCTGAAGGAGTCTCAAAGCATCTTACAATCTCCTTTCACTTCCCCTCCTCACAATAGACACCCTGTGAGGTAGGTGGGGCTGAGAGAGCTCTCTGGAGAACTGACCTTGAGAACAGCTGAGGGAACTTGTGACTGACCCAAGGTCACACCAGCAGCTGCATGTGGAGGAGTGGGGACTCAAACCTATTTGTATTGGTGTCCTTTATGTGTCAAGCCCTTTATTTCTTGATCTTGATCGTGAGCATTCCTGATGTGAGAGCAATCTGACTGTGACATCTGTCACTCCAGGGTTGATTCAGTTGAACTGGCTGGCTAGACGGGTGTCCCTTACATCCCTCACCACTCCACACGCCTCCCTCTCAAAGGTGCACGCTCGGTGGAAGAGGACGCCCACCCCAAAGGGAAAGGGCGAGCATTCTGTGTGGCTACCAAGTGAGTTGCCTGCTGCACCCCCCCCTTCCAGTCAGAGTTGATTTCTTTTAGGATTGACTGATTTGATCTCCTTGCAGTCCAGGGGACTCTCAAGAGTCTTCTCCAGCACCATAATTCAAAATAATCTATTCTTCGGTGCTCGGCCTTCCTCATAGTTCAAATCTCGCAGCCATACACTACGTGGACTTTATGTCTTGGCTTCAAAGGAGGAAATACTGTATCTCAGGGCTTTTTTTGTAGAAAAAGCCCAGCAGGAACTCATTAGCATAACAGGCCACACCCAACAGCAGAAACTCATTAGCATATTAGGTCACACCCTGACAGTGCAGCGCATTAACATATTAGGCCATGCCTTCCCTTGGCTTGCCCGGGACGCCCCGCTGCTGTGGGGAGCCCAGGCAAGCCGGCCCTTGGACAGGCTGGGGAAGGCATGGGGAGGAATTAAAATGCCTCCCCGATCCTTTCAGGGACCCCCCCCCCCCCCCCACCCCCCCCCCGGACACGCTCCCGGCCTCCCCCCACCCCCCCCCCCGGCCCACTTGCCCCGGAGTCGCTCTCCAGGCCTTCCCTCTGTACTCATGCATGCAGAGGTTTTGGCTGTAGTGGGCATGGCCAACTCTGAAGCCAGCCGGAACTCCGTTCCTGTGCGTTCCTGCCCAAAAATAGCCCTGTTGTATCTTATGCCTTATTATAGTTACAGTATGTATTAATGTTGTTATTGTGACACCACCAACTTTATAACTGTTTAATATATTGTTTTGGCAATCTTTGATGGTGTTTTCGACTAGTGGAATTCGTATATTTGGGACTCCTGTGACACTAGTCTTTTCCCCTTGTTGTTTGGGTTTACTTCTTGGAAATGAGGCTGGTGCCCGCAGATCCTCTCCTTGAACTGAGCTGGCCCCCTTTGCTTGGCCTTCTTGGCCCTCTCCGTGGAGCCCCGTAGGGCAAACTGGAAGTGCCGGCCATGCTTTGTCTCCTGCAGGTGCAGAAACTGCTGCCTCTCCTGTCGGAGGCAGTGAAAACCTTGCAGGAGTCTGTCTGACCAACAGAAGGCCCAGAGGTCTGTTCAGCCAGCTAACCACTACTTGATCGAAATCACAAGTCCATCTCTCACAGGGGAAGTGGCTGGCCACACACTCCCACTAGTGGATGCTGTTAAGTGCCACTAAGCCTGGTATCAGTCCCCACTGGGTGGAAGGATGAGCTGGCAGGTGCAGAATGGGTGCCAGGCAGGGCCGGCCTGTTATTGTTACATTTTAGACTGTCGCCTAGGGCGATGGCTCGACGAGGGCGCCATTCTGGCTGGCCTTGTCCCCTCCTTGCCCCACACAGGGAGGCTCCCTTGCCGGCTTCTTGCTTCATCCCCGGCAAGAGACTCCCCTCTCTGCAGCCCCCCAGACAGAAAGAGAAGGAGGCGGGGGGGGGACAGGCACAGGGAACAGCCCGGGACAACAGGAAAGTGCCACTCGCCCTCTGCCACCCACACGGTCTCTTTGGAGCTCCTTTTGAGGACCCTCCCCTCGAGCGATCCCGTTTATCCCACATGCATTTGCAGCCCGCCCCCTCAGCCCACCCGCTGTGGCTCCGGCACCTGCCCCCGTCCTGCCCCACACGGGGGGGGGGGCGCCAGAATGTATCCTCGCCTAGTGGGCGAAAAAACTTGGGGCCGTCACTGGTGCCAGGAATTCTTTACGTTGTGAAAGCAGTTCAGGTGCATGGACCCACCGACACATTCATTGGGCTTAAAAAGTCTTAAAGGCTTAGTCTTAAAAAGGCAAATGTTCTAACAATCCTTCTTGCAAAACTCTGGCAGGGCTTGGGATGCAGACAGAGCTGACCTCTAAGGTGCAAGCCGATTAGCATTGTCGACAACCTGTTTTTCATCCACTTAAAAAAAAAAAAGTCAGAATAATTCTTTTCCAAAGCTCAACGTGAGGGGGAAAAGAAGATCTGTTAGGATTTCATGTTCCCTTACAGGAACCCCCTGTGGCCTGAACGTTCCCAGTCACCATCTTCAGGAGCATGCTGGGAATGGAAGCAAGAAGGCCGCTCAGGAAGCATCCCCTCTGCAGGTTGGTGCCTGTCCTGCTGCACCTGCATGATGCAAGCCACACCGTCATCGAGGCAGGGACTTGGGCCCCAAAGCCCAAGCCTAGAGTTTCCCTGCTGCAAAGCGGCAGTGGTGTCTATAAGGGTGGACCTCATCCAACAGGAATGTGAAGAAATCGGAGCCAATCGCAAAGCTCCAATTCACATGTTCCCCAGGAGGAAAGTTTTGTGCCTCTCCCGAAAATCTTTCTGTGCTTCCAGCAGCCATTTTCCAACTGTCACGGCTCTGCCTTCTCAGAGCCCTCAGTCACTTCCTTCCAGCACAAGAGAGCTGGAGATCTTGCCTTTGCCCACAGGAGGAAAAGTTATCTATTAATTGGTAAAACACCTGATCCCCTCTTCCTGATACAGCAGCAGGAGTTAAAATAGATTTAGGCACTTGGTTTACTTAGGTGCTTCTTCCCAAAGGGAACTTGAAGCAGCTTACAGAAAACACAAAACGTACAAAAACAGGCATTATCTTTCAATTCCAGACTGAAACAAAATACTCAGAACACCATCCTCTCGGTGCTTCAGCCAATAGCCATACAAAGCCTGCAGATTTCAAGAAAATCTCACCAATCTCCTTCCCTTCCTCTCCCCACAACAGACACACTGTTTGGTACCTGGGGCTGAGAGAGCTCTTTTGAGAACTGCTCCTGAGAGAATAGCTCTGAGAGAACTGGTGACCAATGTTCCGTCTAAGCTGTGGAGTCCTGTGAGCAAAAATCTTACTTTGTGAGCGACTGGCATTAAAGTCGTGAGCCAGCGATTTGGCTGCTGCATAAATTAGTTTGCTCTGGAGCCGTCCTTCCTGAGTGAAGACAAAAATGTGTGAGCCGGAGGCTAAAAAACTGTGAGCTAGCTCACACTAACTCAGCTTAGAGGGAACATTGCTTGTGACTGGCCTAAGGTCACACCAGCAGCTGCATGTGGAGGAGTGGGGAATCAAACCCAGTTCTCCCAGATTAGAGTCCACTGCTCTTAACCACAACTCCAAACTTCGCCTACCCGGCAGGGTTGTTGTGAGGGTAGAAAGGAGATGCAGAGGGAGGGAAGGGCGTGCCTACTCATGCATAGCCCAAAACATTTAAGAGTATTAAAGACTCTTATAGCCAGCTGGATGCCCCCTTGGAGAATACAGATTGCCCCAGCGGAAGTCCGGAGAGTTGAAGATTGGATTAAAAAGTTGTTTTCGGTTGAAATGGACAAAATGACGAGGAAATAATATGGAAGCAGAGGACTTCTATAAAGACTGGAAAGACTTAAAAGACTACTTAGAAAAATATTGGGATGTAAGAGACAACTTATTTTGCTTTAATAATTATTGAATATTGAACTTTGATAATATGAAAGGTTAGAGATATAACTTGACTATTAGTTACCTAGTGAATTTGTAATGAAGAAGTGGAGGGAAGAAAAAGGTTAAGAAATATGCAGGAGGTCGTAGCACTGTGGGAAACCATGCAGGGGGGGAAAGGGAGGGGGGTAGGATGTAACGGGTTTAAAATGTATAACAAATGTTGGTTGTGATCAGTGTTCCCTCTAAGCTGAGGAAGCGTGAGCTAGCTCACAGTTTTTTGGCCTCCAGCTCACAGTTTTTTGTCTAAGCTCAGGAAAGGAGGGCTCCAGAGCAAACTAATCTATGCAGTAGCCAAATCACTCGCTCACAATTTTAATGCCAGTAGCTCACAAAGTAGAATTTCTGCTCACAAGACTCCACGGCTTAGAGGGAACATTGGTTGTGATTGATTATATCCTGAATAAAATTTTGTTAAAAAAAAAAAAAGAGAGAGAATACAGGTTGGCCCGAGATAATAAGCTTTCGTGGGTAGGGCTGGGCAGAGAACCACATTCGGCGAAGGACATGCCCGGGGGGGCCGCTGCCCGGGTTGGAGCCTGGCAATCTGACCCGCGCTAGGGCCTCCCCGCCCATTCAGTGCCGTCCTCCTCGGGATGGCTGCAAAAGCGAAAGTGCAAGGCGAGCAGCCGCCCCTCCCCTCCCGAAGGGCTGCCTTGGAGGAGGAGGAGGCGGCCCGGCGGCGACGCCCTCCCGCTCGCCGGCTGACCTCCCTTCCTCCGCCCGCAGCCCAGCTCAGTCAGCTGACGGCCAGGCGTCGGCTTCTCCGCGGCTCCTTTCTCTGCGTGGCGGCCAACGAGGAGGAGGCGGCGGAGATGCTGTGCGGCGGGATGAGCAGCCAGGCCAAGGCGGCCACGGCGGAGATCCAGGAGCTGGTGCAAGCGGTGAGCCCAGCTTTGGCCAGGCCGGCTGCAGGAGGGCAGCGGTGCCCGCGGGTCAAGAGACTGGGGCTGGGACGGCGGCCATCCGAGTTGGGGAGGGGAGAATGATCTTTGCGGAAGTTCCCCTCGCGGAAGAAGCGTGCCCCCTAAATGGAGGGGAAAGGAGGTATAGCGTGCACACAGGGTTGCCAGCAGTCCTGGAGGTGGGGAAAATGCCTTGTCTCTGTAATCGAGACTGCGACTTTCGTGGCCTGGAGGTCGGGAAGGGTCACCTGGTGAACGACAGCCCGTTAAGGCTGCACTGAAAAGGCAGGGCTTGAGGAGCTGGTTTTCTGCAGGCAGGGAGAAGCGTTCGCACAGGGGGTGCCCCTGCCTACAATTTGGAGTGATACAGGCCGCCCTGCCGTCTAATACGCAGATGAGACGTCTGCCTTGCTTCCAGGGGGGAAGGGTGTGTGGCTTACTCCTGGCATAGCGGAAAACATCCGGGAGTCTTTAATATGGCTTGGCCTCAGGAGCAGCTTGGATGCATCAGATGTGAACGCCAAGAAAGCCCCTGCTGCCACAAGGCAGAAGGGTTCATTGTGGCAGAAGTTTAGGGTGGAGGCTCCGAGTTCAAAAACATTCTTGGGAATGCAGCCCCATGCATCTGGCCCATTGGGGTGCCAGTGCCTAAAAGACAATGCCTGCCATGTTCCCTCTAAGCTGTGGAGTCTTGTGAGCAAAAACTCTACTTTGTGAGCTACTGGCATTAATGTTGTGACTGACCAAACAATTTGGCTGCTGCATCAATTAGTTTGATCTGGAACCATCCCTTCCTGAGCTAAGACAAAAATGTGTGAGCCAGAGGCTAAAAAACTGTGAGCTAGCTCACACTAACTCAACTTAGAGGGAACACTGCCTGCCACATATTCATCTCCTTTGGCTCAAAGAGACCCCAGAAGTTTGCCTGCTTAGTAGGGTTGCCAGCTGTGGGTTGGGAAATTCCTGGATATTTGGGGGGGGTGGAGTTTGAGGAGCGAAGAGACCTCAGTGGGGTACAATGCCATAGAGCAGTGATGGCGAACCTTTTAGAGACCGAGTGCCCAAACTGCGACCCAAAACCCACTTATTTATTGAAAAGTGCCAACACGGCAATTTAACCTGAATATTGAGGTTTTACTTTAGAAAAAACAACTCATACATTAACTTAAGATGATCCAAACAAAGTAAGGAAAGCAATCCCAAATGCTTTCATTTACTTAAAATTATTTGGCAGGGGCGATGGCACGCGTGCCCACAGAGAGGGCTCTGAGTGCCACCTCTGGCACCCGTGCCATAGGTTCGCCACCACTGCCATAGAGCGTACCTTCCAAAGGGGTTATTTTCTCCAGGTTAACTGACCTGTTTAACCAGGAGACCAGTAGTAATTCTGGGAGATCTCCAGCCACTATCTGGAGACAGACAACTCCACTGCTCAGAGACCTAGCAGAGCACACCTTTTGGAGCTTGCATCAAAGGGGATTTCAGCAAATACACAGCATTTCCATCAGCCAAAAATCTCCTCTTCTGCAGATCTGTATGTCTTCTTTAAAAAAATCTGTAGACCGCTTTTCCCCATAGTTGGAAATGGCTTTCAGAAAGTCAGTGACACAACAGAAGAGTTGAAACGATACAGCTGCTGAAAAGACTCTCCCTCCACCGCTTTCTAGCCAAAGGCCCTTCTGAGCAAGCCCCCTTTATGTATTTAATTCCTTTGTCCCCTGCCTTTCTCTCCAGTGGGGATCCCAAGGTAGCTTACGTCATTCTCCTCTCCTCCATTTTATCCTCACAGCAACCCTGTCAGGTAGATTAGCCTGAGAGTGGTGTGACTGGTTTAAAGTAGATTTTTTAAACACCCAGCGAGCGTCTGTGGCATGAGCAGGGATTTGAACCCAGGTCTTCCAGATACTGGTCTGATACTCTTAATCACGACACCACAGCATCAGTCACTTATTTGGAGCCAATTGCCCCTTCAAAATAGGGTGCTTTTGCACACTTGGGGAGGGAGGAGAACAAGAAGGGGACAGACGGGACTGTTCCGGAAAGCTGTTCCTGAGGTCATCAGAGTGAAAGACTGGTAGAAACCCCGGTGCTGGTGTGTGTGTGTGTGTGTGTGTGTGTGTGTGTGTGTGTCAATGCATGGAATCAGGAGTGGATTGGGAAGTGTAAATGGCTCTGGAGCGATCCAAGCTGAGTGGCCGCCATGACACTTACAATCCAGTGCTTCAGGGACACTCAGCTTACAGGTCAAGGTTGGGCATTAGCTCATCCATTTCATTCTCCCCCCCCCCCCCCCCACCCCGTGAACTCCAAAAGGGAAACCAGTCCTCCCTGAGGTGAAAGTTTCAAAGAAATCTCCTTGAGGGAGGTGTTTTAAAAATCTACTTAAACCGGTCCTGCCACATTTTCAGGGGCAGCAGCCAGCTCCCTGGTTTTGTTGGGGAAGGGCTGCTGGGCTCACGACAGAAGGAAACCAAAACACCGGAGGCCTTCCCTTTCAGCTTGCCAGCCGCATTGTTTCTTTCGGTTCCTCTTCCGTGACTCATGCCTTTGCTCTTTCAGAGGGAGAGCCAAAATGACACAGAGTCTTGTGATCCTTGAAATATGGTTGCAGTTCTCGCTTTGGGACTGTCTGGGACGGGGTGGGGGGAGCCTGCATGTGCTCCTGCCTCAAGGGCTTTGGCCAGGAGAAATGGCTTCTGCAGATCCAGAACTGTTTCCGGTCTTTCATGTGGCGATCGGAAAACAGAAGCTGTGCTGTGTGCCGTTGGCATGTTTCTAGATCTCATTGTGTTTTACATTGAAGGTGTTAACATTATGTGAAGGGTGCTAGCAGATATTTTTCTCCCGACACCTGATCTTGTGCCTGAAGAAATTACCCTGAAGAGCATCCAGCCTAGGGTTGCCAGATCCTGGTTGGGAAACTCCTGGAGATTTAGGAATGGAGCCTGGTGAGGGCAGGGACCTCAGTGGGGGACAACGCCACAGAGTCCACCCTCCAAGGCATCCATTTTCTCCAGGCGAACTGATCTCTGTACTCTGGAGATGAGCTGTAACTCCGGGGGATCCCCAGCAATGTTCCCTCTAAGCTGTGGAGTCTTGTGAGCAAATATTCTACTACGGGCATTAAAGCTGTGAGTGAGAGATGTGGCTACTGCATAAATCAGTTTGCTCTGGAGCCATCCTTCCTGAGCTAAGACAAAAATGTGTGAGCCGGAGGCTAAAAAACTGTGAGCTAGCTCACACTAACTCAGCTTAGAGGGAACACTGATCCCCAGGTCCCACCTGGAGGTTGGCATCCCTAATTTCCAGCATCTAGAACAGGGGTCCCCAACATGGTGCCCAGCAGGGCTTCTGATTGGCCACTGGATGTTTGTCTGGCTGCGCAGATTAAAATGTTTCAGCGGCAGCTGCCACACATTGTTGGTCTTATTCTCACATTCTTCTTTCCCAGTGTATTTTTAAAATTACCCCTCTTCTCCCCTGCCCCTGGGTTTCCTCTGTGTGTGGCTCCGCCTCCTGTGGCAGCCATTTTGTGGCTCATTTAACCTCCAGTGGTAGCCATTTTGTTATTGCTCCCATCGCCCTGTGTCAGACTTCCAAAGCTGTCCACAGGCACAAAAAGGTTGGCAACCCTGGGTCTAGGAAAGGTCTGATTTCCACACTTAACTCCTGATCTCTCTAGTAACCTCTCTACGAGGGGTCTAGAAAGTTTGTTGGCCAAACTGGCTTATCTTGTTTTGGGGCATTTAGCTTGACCGGGATGAAATTAGCAGATGATATTGCCGTCCTTGTTTTCTCCACATCAGAATTTCCTGCATAGCTGGCTTCTTCAGAGCGTAGGAGATTGGCCAGTACATTGGCAACGTGACCTCCAACTCCTTTTTGCAGAAATCATGGCTCATTTCCCTATTCTTCCCTGCTCTCTCCATGATTCATTTCTCAGCTCCATTTCCCCATGACTCTTGACCATGTGAATGGTCTTTCTTGAAACATGCTGTGTTTGCAGTCTGTCAGATAATACGGAAACTCTGCTCCTGTCAAGTGAAAGCTGCATTTGTTTGAACCAAAATTTTAAGACACAGTGCTAAACTTACTTGCCTTAAATACTGTTGGCAATGGGAGATTTGTTTTCAAGAATATTTAGGGTTTGATGTCAGGCATACAAAACAATGTGGCACTCTCCTCCCTAGCATTTCCCCCTTCCAGACCTTTTGCGCTCTTCTCAGCTTGGGCAGACTGGTTTCTCTACCCCAGGGGTCCTCAAACTTTTTAAACAGGGGGCCAGTTCACTGTCCCTCAGACCGTTGGAGGGCCGGACTATAGTTTTAAAAAACCCTATGAACAAATTCCTATGCACACTGCACATATCTGCAGTTTGGCGCCCCTAAGGGCCAGCGCGCCCTAGGCCTTATCAGGCCATTTATTAAGCTCCCCCCCCCCTTTTTGGTTAATTTACAAAGTCATGTTTTTCTGTGTACCTGGGCAGTTTACTGTTAGCCCAGGCTAGCCTGATCCCGTCATATCTCGTAAGCTAAGCAGGGTCGGCCTCAGCTAGTATTTGGAAGGGTGACCGCCAAGGAATACCAGGGTCATGACACAGAGGCAGGTTACAGCAAAACCACTTCTGAAATGTCTCTTGGTGCACAATGCTAAAAGAGCTAGAACTTCTGGCTGCCAGACAATCTTAGGATCTCTTGGCTATTCTACACACAACGCCATACGATAATTATAATTACTATACTAACAGATCTCTTCCCTCCATTTTCTTTCACCAGAATGTGGCTCCCAAAACACCCCCCAACTCTTGATATGTGGATTGACTTCTTCTGTTGCTGATTTTTATTCTTACTGATTTTTCTTTTACTGCTTAGTGTTGGTTTTATTATTTATTGGATAATAAAAAAGGGTTTTATAGGGAGGTTGCCACTTGTTTTCTGAAAACTTGAAGCAACCTGGCCCACACGTACCTTCTGTGGGAGAGAATTCCCGAGATCACAGTGAAAGGCCCTGATGTGGGGAGAAAGTCAAGATGTAAATGAAGCAAGTAATAATAATTTTGTCCACCAAATGGAGATCACCTGCACCAGGGTGATCCCCAAATGACATCAAGGTGGGGAGGGATGTACATGGAAGAAAGCATTTAAGGCACTAAAAATTGGGATTCTGTATTGAGCCGAGAAACCAACAGGTAACCAGGTTCCAGGTATTAATCGTTTGGTGAGTAAAAGAAACCTTTTCCCCCCTTGGCTTGTCTGTTTCCTCAGGTGAAGGCAGAGGTGGAAGAAAAAGAAGGGCGGGACTTTGAGGTCTTCAATGCAGTGGAGTATAAAACACAGACGGTTGCTGGAATAAACTACTTCATAAAGGTACCACCTTCGACCAATACCTTTTACCTGAGGTCCTGTCATACACACTGCTCTTATCCATGGGGAATTCCGCGCAGTCAGTCCAGACAACTGCTGTGGGAGTTAGGTTCTCTGTGGGTGGCAACCATGAAAACCCACGGACGAAACAATTCTGCACCGGTGTGATCCATAAGACTTATTTGTGGGACTTCCGGGCTGCCAACTAAAGTGCTTGAGCCAAGCCGGGCTGACTACCTCTGTGAGAACTAGGCCTTGGTCACTCCCTCCCCCAGTTTTTATTTTGACAATTCTGAAGTACAGCAGTGCCACTGATCACCTGGTCCTGCCTCCTATGAGTCCGCACTCAGTTGTCACTTCAGGGAATGTGAAAATTTGATGTCCTCCCTCCGTAGATCTGATCCTAAAAAGGACATGGTGAGGATGCATTGCTTGGCCTGAGGTAGTGAATATCTGCAGCTGTCGAAGGAGCTCAGGAAAAAGGTTGGCAAGGAGACACCCATCTTCTCTCCCCCAAGCTGTGTGCCCAAGAGGTTTGGGATAGAGAAGGAGGAATAAAGAGCAGGAGAAAAGTTCTGAGGCCTTGCATGGTCCTGTAGGGTCCCCTCAGACAAGGCTTGTGGATGTGTGTGTTGTAGCAGCTGGCCCCACTCTGCTGTGGACCCTGGGGGGACCTTGGGCCAATCACATGCTGTCAGCCTAGCCTGCCTCACAGGGCTGTTGTGAAGATACAGTGGAGGAGAGGAGAACGTTGTAAGCCCCTTTGGGTCCTCATTGAGGAGAAAAGGCAGATTGTAAATAAATAAATGGAGGGAAACCTCAACACTCTCCATGTTAAAACTGAGAGGAAGGTGAACACCCTCCTGCTTCACTCCACATGGCTTTGGTGGTGGTGGAAAGTGCTGTCAAGTCGCATCTGACGTGTGGTGACCCTGTAGGGTTTTCAAGGCAAGAGACATTCAGAGGTGGTTTGCCCTTGCCTGCCTCTGCGGAGTGACCCTGGACTTCTTTTTTGGTCTCCCATCCAAGTACTAGCCAGGGCCAACCCTGCTAACCTTTCTGAGATCTGACGAGATCAGATCAGCGTGGGCTATCCAGGAAGTCCACACAACTCACGGATTATTTTTCCCCCCTTTCAGGTCCAAACTGGCAACGATCAGTACCTTCACGTACGAATTCACAAAAGCCTCCCTCACGAAAACAAACCCCCGGCGCTCACTAGTTACCAAAGCAACAAAGAAAAGCATGAGGCGCTCTCTTACTTCTAGAAGGCTGTCTGGAAGTTTCTTTTCAGAGCAACGTTTACTTTGCAGAATCGAAAATCACTGTTCATTCCTCTTATAGCGATGATTTATTTCTGAAATGTACTGATTCCTGTGGCCTACAGTAATAATTGTATTCATAATAATTATTTTATATTTGATTTGCATTTATTCTCTCTGTGTTATTTTTTGGGCGGGGAGCCAGCTTGGTGTAGTGGTTAAGAGCATGGACTCTAATCTGGGAGAACCAGGTTTGATTCCCCACTCCTCCACATGCAGCTGCTGGTGTGACCTTGGGTCAGTCATACGTTCTTTCAGAGCTGTTCACTCAAGGGCAGTGCCCAAGAGAGCTCTCTCAGCCCCACCTACCTCACAGGGCGTCTGTTGTGGGGAGGGGAAGGGAAAGGAGATTGTAAGCCACTCTGAGACTCCTTCGGGTAGTGAAGGGCGGGGTATAAATCCAATCCCCTCTTCTTCCTCTTCTCTGGCTCAACCACCTCAGGGAAAAACATCCTTCACCCTGATTGTTTTTAAAGCACTGCTCTGTTTTATCCGCCTTTGCGTAAAAAGAGCTGCCATTTCTGCTGTGTATGTGTTGTGAAGAGAAGAAGAAACAGCAGAGGCAAGTGGTCCATCTAGTCCAGCATCGTGTTTCACACAGTTGTCAACTAGTTGGATGGCGGACAGAGGCCCAGGCCTTCTCCTGGTGCTGCCTCCGAGCCCTGTGATTCAGAGGCTTACCGCTTGTGGACGTGAGGACTCCCTTTAGTCATCTTGGCTAGAAGTCCGTGGACCTTTCCTCCACGGATCTAATCCACTTTTGAAGCCCATGGCTGTCATTACATACATACCCTAGCAGTGAGTGATTTTGGAAAGTTCGTCTCAAGCAAAGGAGAAGATAACCCTCCAGAAATGGTTGAAGAAGAGGCTGAAAAATTAGTGAAAGAAGATGGGGAGAGATCAGAAGCCAGATTAAGTAGAGTTGGACTGTTTGATCCACATAAAAGGCCTGGGGCAGGCAGTTCAACTAAAGTGAATGTGATTCCCTCTAGTTCAAGCCAGGGATGTGGGAGTGCCTATCAGGCATTCTCCAGCCTTTCAAAAAGCCATTCTGGATCTACTAAGTGGACTTACTGTGCCCCCCAAGGGTGCCCCCCGTTGCCCACCACTGCTTCAAGAGGCAGTGGGACAAAAATGTTAAAACCCCTGGCAATGTCCTCTGTGCCATTTCTGACATATGGTAGCTCTAGGAATCACTGGAAAGTGTATGGGAAACCATAGAGTTTCTGGTGATTCCTAGAGTTACCCCACATCACTTCCGGGTGTTGTAATGGCACAGAGATTGTTACAGGCCCCCACATTTCCCCACTCACACCTCTATTACTAACATGCTAAGAGAAGTCCTTCTGCAAGATGAAAAACAAAACCTATTAGGTAGCCCCCCCCCCCCCCCCAGCTGTTAAAGGGTTCATTTCAACCAGAGCTGTGTTCTTAGGCTGGCCCTGCATTGGGCAGGGGATTGGACTAGAACTAGATGGCCCCTTTCAACTCTATGATTCTATAAAAATAAGCCGTCTTCTCTGCCAGGAACTGTTTGATTTTGCTGCCTCCCCTGCCGGTGAGTGTTGCATTGCAGGCATCCTGGAAAGTTGTGTTTTTGTATTTGAATTGCTCTGAGTAGTAATGTTTTGTGCCTGCAATTTTAAAATGCACATAAAGAAATAAAAACAAAACAAAATCATAAGCCAACATTTTTCAATTTTGGTTTTTAATTTTTAAGCACTTGCTGACTTTGGGATGTCCATAGTTTCCGCATATAAAGAAGAGGATAAGACGAGGGGATTCCTAGCCAAAGTAGCTCAGTGGATCGCTTGCCGTTTTGCCCGTCTGGTAACCGGTCAAGGAGATATCCCCATTGTTGCATGGAAGTGCTTGAAATACACGTATGTGGACATACTCGCCGTGACCCACATCCATCTGTATGGAAGAGAATTGATTTGGCATTCTTAATTGATCAGATTTCACATTAACAGTCCTCTCAGATCATGATTTAAACACCAAAGCACAAGAGAGAATCACCAACAGGAGTGACATAAAAAGAAAACCAGCTAGCTCGATCTTGTCAGCAATGTTTCCTCTAAGCTATGGAGTCTTGTGAGCAAAAATTCTATTTTGTGAGCTACGGGCATTAAAGTTGTGAGCGAGTGACTTGGCTACTGCATAAATTAGTTTGTTCTGGAGCCCTCCTTCCTGAGCTAAGACAAAAATGTGTGAGCTGGAGGCTGAAAAACTGTGAGCTGGCTCACACTAACTCAGCTTAGAGGGAACACTGCTTGTCAGATCTGAAAAGCTAAGCAGGGTCAGCCCTGGTTAGTGCTTGGATGGGAGACCGCTAAGGAAGTCCAGGGCCGGTATGCGAGGCAGGCAATGTCAGGTTCCACAGCAAGTCACTCTTCACACAGGTTTCCTAAGAAGCGTTATGCTTTATTAGTGTACAAGACTGGTACCATGTCCACAGCATTATTGTTAGGAATAACTAGAAGGCAGGAACATCCCAATACATATAGCTGGGCAAGGCAACTAGCTAAGCAAATGAACTTCGAGCGAGCACGCGGGAATACTCCTGGCGGGAGATTACATAATGAGCGGGAGAGTCGCGGGGTTTCCTGAGAGCAGAAAGATTCACACCAAATGTGGACCCCAAGCCCTCCCTACCTCACAAGGCCAGACTGATAACGGCATCTAGCTCCCACGGTCTCCCTGGCATGTTTACTGCAAGCAAGGTGGGAACAGGGAAGGGCAGAATACACAAAAATGGCAGCCAGCTGACAGGCAAGGGCAAACCATCTCTGATAGTCTCTTGCCTTGAAAACCCCACGAGGGGAATCGCCATAAGTCAGCTGTGACTTAACAGCAAAAAAAAAGTCTGGCTAAGTGTGTAATGTTTAACAAAAAAAGGTTTTCAAGTGTTTCCAGTCAATCTGACTAGCTTGGATGAGAAACTAGAATTTTAACAAGGCTTCTGTATCTTTACAAGATGGATTCATTCGCACCATCACATCTGAGGGTCAAACTAGATAATATGCATCAACAAATACCCTGCCCAGTCATTTTTTTAAAGTGAAAAACCTTGAAGAATGGTCATCAGGAGCAGAAAGCACAAGGAGAGTAGCTTAACTCTCCTTGCTTTTATTGGGGGGGGAGGGGTTTCCTCAAAATTATATATATGTACATATGAAGCCGCCTTATACTAAATCAGACCCTTGGCCCATCAGAGTCAGTACTGTCTACCCAGACTGGCAGCAGAACATAAGAGAAGCCAATGTTGGATCAGGCCAATGGCCCTTCTAGTCCAACACTCTGTCACACAGTGGCCAAAAATACCAGGTGCCATCAGGAGGTCCACCAGTGGGGCCAGGGCACTAGAAGCCCTCCCACTGTTGCCCCCCTCCCCCGGAAGCACCAAGAATACAGAGCATCCCTTGCCCCAGACCGAGAGTTCCTATCTATACCTTGTGGCTAATAGCCACTGATGGACCTCTGCTCCATATGCTTATCTAATTCCCTCTTGAAGCCGTCCATGCTTGTAGCCACCACCACCTCCTGTGGCAGTGAATTCCATAATCCCTCTTCGGGTGAAGAAGTACTTCCTTTTATCTGTCCTAATCCAACTACTCAGCAATTCCATGGAGTGCCCACGAGTTCTTGTATTGTGAGACAGGGAGAAAAGTACTTAAGAACATAAGAGAAGCCAATGTTGGATCAGGCCAATGGCTCATCTAGTCCAACACTCTGTCACACAGTGGCCAAAAATACCAGGTGCCATCAGGAGGTACCTGCTCTATCCCATGCATAATCTCATAAACCTCGATCATGCCACATAAGAATCATGTTGGATCAGACCCAAGGCAGATCTAGGCCGTGTCCTGATCACGCAGTGGCTAATCAGCTACCTCTAGGAAGCCCACAAACTGGAAGTGGAAAGGGTAAAGCGGCTCCGCTTTTCCCCTTCCAACTGGCAGCCTCCTTGGTGGCTTTTCAGTGCTTCTAAAATGTCGGGAGATGTTCCATTTCCCGTTCTGTGTAACATTCTTGGATGTTGTTAGAGCCAAGAACTTTAATACAGGTTTCTCTCGAACGCTGTACATTAGGTGGGGGAGGACTGGGATGTTAGAACAGTCAGGAGCGAGATGAGCTGAATGTCCCCTGCAGTGTAGGCCACTCTTATCACTGCTGCGATCCAGGTCCAAGCTGGGCTGCTTTTGCATCATGGCCCACACCACTGGGGTGCTTGGCTCAGCTTGATCCTGGCTACCAGTGGCCCAACGGGAATGTTCCCACTAAGTTAAAGGCCCATCCCACCACTGATGTTTGATAAACACAGCCAATGTCTGGTGCAGATCTATTTTAAACAAAAGTCTCAGAATCAGAGTGTCAGCAAAAGGCCATAAGAGCAGATGTCTGGTTGTAACTTTATATTCAGATATATACAACTATGACCAATCACAATCTGACATCAGAACAAAGCTTGAGTCCAGTGGCACCTTTAAGACCATTCAAGTTTTATTCTGGGTGTAAGCTTCCATGTGCAATGCACACTTCTCTCTTTTTTAGCAGTTTTTGATAAACTTTAATAGAATTTATATCCAGAATACTTCTATGCAGTAGCTAATATCCTGTTCACAAAATTAAATAAACAAATAAACATGACCAGACTCAAGCCTCAAGAGAGTTTCTGTTTTCTCCCACAACAGCCAAGTATCTGATTGTAAGTGCTTTTTCCAAGCTCATAAAAACAGGAAAAGACAGGTACTAATTCTACAAGCACACTGAACCAATTTGTATGAACAATATTTGTTAAAACAGTTCATTATCCATAGCACTACATTTATATTCAAATTCGGAAAGAAAATCATCTTTTTCAATGAGATTCAAAACTTGTTAATTATGTTCCAGGCATTAGACATTTTTCTTATTTAAACCAGATAGAAGACTTTCTAGATTACTTTTAATAACAGAAGCACTTGCTTTGACAGTTAGAAAGAGAAACCAAATTAAATGAAAACATTTGCCACAAAACGCTTTACAAAATAGCCAGCGGTTGCAATGTTTTCTTAGCATATGAACTTGTCAAGTCTTGTCAAGTCTTGTTCTGTGGGATTTTTATTACAACAGTCTTCACTTCTGTATATGCATGAATGCCGTGTTCTCCCAGCTCTTGGCCATTTCCTGACATTTTGAACCCACCAAAAGGACACGGAACAGACACTGCACTATAACAGTTAACCCTGAAGCAGAGCTATTTTGGGGCAGGAACGCACAGGAACGGAGTTCCGGCTGGCTCCCAAGTTGGCCACACCCAGCAGGAACTCATTAGCATAATAGGCCACACCCAACAGCAGGAACTCGTTAGGATTGGCTATATTAGGGGTGTGTGGCCTAACATGCAAAGGAGTTCCTGCTACAAAAAAAGCCCTGGGTTGACAACAAACAAGGTAAACAGAATCACAAGCAAAAGGTGGGTGTGGCTGGATAACCACACTTCTGGTAACGTGGGGGTGCAGCCTAATGTGCTAATGAGCGGTGCTGTCAGGGGTGTGGCCTAATATGCTAATGAGTTTCTGGTGTTGGGTGTGGCCTATTATGCTAATGAGTTCCTGCTGGGCCTTTTCTACAAAAAGAGCCCTGCGAAGTATCTGAAGAAGTACTTATACCCAGATTAAAACGGAGTTGGTCTTAAAAGTGCCACTGGACTCAAAACTTTGTTCTGCTGCTTCAAACCAACACGGCTACCCACCTGAATCAATCTGACATCATGCATCACAAAGATAAGTCACTTTAAGTCACATCACTTGTGCTCCCAATAAGCCCCTGAAGGGCGTGCAGGGTAATTCTGGGAGATTCCAGAATTCCACCTGGAGGTTTGGCAACCTGACTGGGGGCCAGTGTTACACAGACCAGTAGATCAGAACCCAGCCCAAGATGTTTGTTTTGTCAGTTTAAATTGGTTGTTAAAATCTTTTTTTTTTGTATTTTTCTGCAAACTGCTTTGGGCTAGGTTTGCCACCTCTGGATTGGAAAATACCTGGAGATTTTGGGGGTGGAGCCCGTGAAGGGCGGAGTTTGGGGAGGGGAGCTATCTCAGCACAGTATAATGCCTCAGAGTTTGCCGCCCTCCCAAGCAGCCATTTTCTCTGGGGAAACAGCTCTCGGTTGTCTGGAGATCAACTGTAATCGTGGGAGATCTCAAGGCACTACCTGACAGTTGGCAACTCCAGCTGTTGGGCCCTTCTGTAGAAGAAGGGCAGACATAAAGATGCACAAATAAATAAAGTTCATTTTTTTTTCCTTTTGCCATTAAGGTTTTTTTTTTAAGGAAGCCCATTTTAAACTCCCGGTCATTTCTCTATTAGAGCACTAACCTTAATAAAGTAGTTTGTTCCAGCAACCACTTGTGATCTGTATTCTGTGGCAGTGAAAACAGGGTAGCTCTTGTTTTCCCTTGCTTCTAATTGAGGTTTCACCTGAAATTTAAAAAATAAAAATAAATTTGAAGAGTTTGACAATAATACTTGATTGGATCCTGTGGATTCATTTGGATCTGTGAGACCCACCTTTTGTCTTAGTGTTTCTTAGGAGTCACAGTAGTGTTACAAAA